TATTACGAAAAAATACGAATGTTATACATAATCTAAGGAGGAGAGATCCGTCCGTAGTATAGGTATTGAGTAATTTTGTTCGACCAAAACTTGAATAGATGGTAAATCACCTACTATTTCGCATCTGCTGGGATTTTAAGGAAGTTGACTGGCTGACAGAATTGACAGAACGAGAAAAGAAGAGTTACCGGTTGAAAAATAACTTGTTCATTTCAGCCAACTTGACTCGATAACAATTTGGTTGACTTGTTGCTTAAATCATATCGACTCAGATAAATTTTGAACAGTTTTAAGTCTTGTCCATGTATTATATCAAACATGTTTTAACTAATCACCTTATGCTATTAACACCCTTATTAATAATTAAAATTCTATACTAATTTTCCCTGCAGGAAACTTATTCAACAAATATGTCAGTAAATTGCAACCGCAAAGAAAGGCAACGATCACGTCGATGAAAAAGTGGAATATTAATTGTAGGTTAAGAGAGAGAGATAAAGATTGAATAATTGCACAACCTACAAATAGAATAACTACCTCTTTTTTTCTATTTTAGGTATCCTAACAATAAGGTTAATCATGTTTAGAATGATTTCTAACCTCAATTCTTCAACTTTAAGGAAATAACAGCAGGCAATTGCCGAAGAACAGTATTAATATTATCAAATCACCAAAATATAGTTAGTTTTAAAAAGCTAAATATATAAACAAACGTCACTAGCTTATATCATAATTCTGTTGAAACAAACTTAATTACCCCTACCTGGTGTTTACGATTTTGTTTTGAAAATTTTCTTAACCTCCAAAAATAGCTCATGCTTTCAGAATTCTTTGCACATTTGCAGCTGTTCTTTACAGGATAAGGGTATATAACTGGGGGGGAAAAACACAAGTATTTACACAGAGGTCAAACATACAAGCAATCGCTGGCACATTTTCCAAACGTCCAATGAAGGTTCTGAAGAGCATATATCTTGAAGCAAGGCCCTGGCTTCCAGAAGGCCACCAGAAATATTCTGTAAGACTGCCTCTTCGCTCGCCATTAAAGATGCTAGTAACTTGGCACCAGCAATCCTTTCCTGGTAAACAATTAAATGACAAACTCGTTAACGAAAAGTATGAAATTAACTCTCACAACAGGCTTCCAAATATTACTAGGATAAACTTCTTTTTAGGTGATAGAAGCAACAGGGGCAATAATGATGAGGAGAATGGAAACCACACAGAAAGGTAAGCCCTATGGCGAATGTTAGCAGATAAGAGCAAGTGATGCCCCTTTTTAACCACATCAATAAAATCTGGAAGTAACACTTTCGGTTCCAGAGGGTGACACAGTGGGATGAAGGCACTAGATGGACACTGAACGAAGATACTACTCCACGAAAGCACCGAGGCTCCTTGTGTCCAAGGAGAGTACCTTAACCAGTGCCAGAATATTAGATGCTTTCTACAAACTTGACCTTTCAATTCAAAGGAAGAGCAGATATTTTCAAAAGTTGCCTTGCCTGTTTCTTTCAGGAAGAAATTCATAATTGAGATTCAAGCTGAAATGAATAAGGCGACAAGAGAAAAATGGATGCCCATTTTAACACAAGAATTACATTTTCGTGCAAATTGGTTTTACCTTGCGAAGTCGAATGCTTAATAAAGGGTTCATGTTGCATGGCATTTACACGGCGCACTAGATAGTGGTACTTGTGCATGTGGGTACACCAGAGAGCAAGTAGCGCTTTGTATGCATAAAGTGTGAAGAGAGAGATAGTGGTTTAAGTACATAAATAGAGCAATGATTGAAAGCACAGCCAAAAGGTTCAAGATTAAACAAGTATAATTATAATGCAATAATTTTCAAAAATACCTTCTCTGATCCTTCTCTAAGCGACTTTATCGACGCTTTGAGAAGATCGGAAGAGTAAGGAAGAACTAGAGACTTTAGATGGTACACCATTGAGAAGAATACTTGGATACATGCAGACCTGACTTCTGAATCTGCAATTTCCTGGAAAAATTGCAAGGGTTAGAAACCGACTAGAGTTGCCAATATCAGTCATCACCCAAACTAATGATACTGATGATAATTAACGAAATGAAATAGGCGATAAATACATAAGTGTAGAACACCTTGATTGAATGGAGGATACGAGGAAGAATTTTCGAAACAAATGGTTTCTTGCTAGCACGAGGAACCTTTTGACAAGCACTAATAAGCACATTTGCCATGCACAACCGAAAAGAGATGTGGGCTTTTGGCACCTCATCTCTATCCAACTTCAACGAAATAATGGTATCTTCATCACAAACCAAGTGGTGGATCACGTAACTGCAGACTGAGCCTTTTGCGACAGAATCCCCTGTGCATATGATCCACTATAGTCTCTTAGCATAGCAGCAAAAGGTTGTTTGCATAAACTTTAAAAAAACGACCTAATGAGACAATGTTCTGCTCAAAACAAGCCTCACTCGATGTTGAGTTCTTGACAGCTTTTGTAGCTTGCAATTCAGTGCACAGCATCAATGCTAGACAGTCGATGCAACCATGTTGTGCCTTTGAAACTGAAGGAAAAAAATCTAACAGTGAAAAACAATTAAGAATTGACATGAGTAGTGTAGAGAATCATTAGTTACTTACTATCATCCCCATCCACTGAAGGCCATAATAAGACAGTCTCTATTGCCTTCCTTATCTGCAACACGTCAGGATGCGCATATGCGTCTGTGCCTCTTACCTATTGTCCAGAATGTTTGATGGACAATAAGGATTAGGACCCCAGCAGATAGCAATATGTAGGTAGTAAGAGAGAACCATGACAAACTTAAAAGTTCAACACATGTGTCAAAAGCTTTATAACTGTCATAAGAAAGATTATTACCAAGAGAGATGTGCAAGTTGAAAAAAGACAAGCTTTTATCTTCAGTAAATCCTTGGAATTAGAGGCATTTTTCAGCTGATATGACATTATTGGAATGAGAACCTGCAGAATACAGAGGCAGCAAATGTTGATGTAAACTATTGCAGAATTGGGAGGAAACTCAGAGCATATGAGGACTTAGGACTATATAATAGATTAGAAATAACAGTTAAATGCATACAATCAAAACTTTAACCAGAGGGAAAACCTTTCCCTGCTATAGTTGTATAAAATTTATGATGTTACTATGATTTGTTATCACTATAAATGCTGCAGCAGTTGACCGCAGTATAAAATTTTAGAGAGTGAGAGAGCATTATAAATTATAAAACAGGCCAGGTAGCAGATATTAGAATAGTTGGACAGAAGACTGTAGACCCAAAATGACCATTTCTATGTGAGGCAGTTACTGGCTGATAGTTCACCAACTCATACAAATTAGAATTATAATGATCACTACATGCATTTAACACACAGATGATTGTTGCCTCCCGTTTTGATGCTATTGGAGCATCCAACATCATATTCATGGCTGACACTACCTAAACCCCAGCCAGGTGTATAACATGCAAGAAAATATATCTGTATAATAAATGCAGGACATAAGACGAGTAGAAAGGTACATTCTAACCAAGTGTTTTTAAAAGCGAAAATCACAAAAACACGACAATGTTCACGGGGGCTTGAAGCAAAAATAAGTGAAGCGCACGCTTCTTTCAGGTGAAGCATAGGAAAAAATAACCAACAAAAAATACCAAACATATTAATATATTATATTTACTATAATAATCAAATTGCAATTACGATAATTAATTTCAGAATCTAATATACAAAATAATGTCGTTATTAATCTAACTCCTCAAAGTTGAGAGCGGAAAAAACAACCGCTTTTTGTTTGGATCAATTTGCGTGTCATTGTTTGAAGCACACATTTAACTGAAGCACATGGTTTCACATATGAAGCGATAACCCCTCGCTTCGCGTCACTTCCCCGCTTTAAGCGATGAAATGATGGCATTTAATAACATTTCCCTAACCTTGGGACCTAAAACCAGGGCTTTGGAGATGGTAGACCATTTGGGATGGTAAATGGCACAACTTTATACTATTTAGCATGAGGTCATGGGTCGATGAATAAGAAAAACATGACCCCTGTGAGCCTTATCTAAAAGGTAAAGACAAAACTAGTTGACTACTGGAGAACCATGGCCATTAACTTTCTAGATAATAAACATACCTTCTTTAATCATATGATCTAGATGGTATCCACAGTAATAGGTTTGGTGAATTTGCAATCTAACAACGTTCTGACCATGTAAATTACCAAGATTTAGCACTATATCTATTATACTGCACATACATCCATTTAGCAATTCTTCGAGTCAACTTCTGGCGCGTTAATAGTTGCATGTCTTCAATCCCCTCAACCACAGAGTGACCAGATAAGAGTTGAAAGTATGATCTCTCAGCTGTTGTAAATCATCATTCTGAAAGCAATGGTGCGTACTTTTACCCTAAGTATGTGTCAACTATTGGCATCTCATACTTATCACCAATGCCTTTTCAAAGAGTCAAAGCTAGTGTTTTCTACATTCAACAATTCAAGCGGGCAAAGAAACTTTAAAGTCACGTAAAGTTTGCACTCTAGAGTAACAGTATGCAGCATTTTTAGTCATTTTAGTCACCACATGCAGCATTTTTAGTTATTTTATTCCCCTCTTAGGATTCTGGAGTTGCTGTATATTAGTGTTAAATAAGGGACAATAATACACACCTTTGGGTGAATTCTCCCACACAGCTCAGCTGCAAGTCTTCGAACATCTTCAAATTCAGAGTTGCTCAATGCCCTGAAACAAAGAGCACCATGGAGAAATCAAATGAAGAAATTTCAAAACATGGTAATTCACAAACCAAAAATATTAGCTTCTGGGAGTACCTGTTGATCAGAAGTCCAGCCACACATTCAGTGCTTTGAGTTCCCAAGCATTCATCATCTGGAGGTAATGCCGGTTAAATTTGTGGATTTTGGGAAGATGTTTAGGAAAAAAAAAAATGGGGGGGTGGGGGGCGGCTTTCCAGCAAAGTGGGCTATAAGACTTGTATAAGACGAGGGTTAGAATAAAATAAAATAGGTCCTAACTAAAAGCACCAGAGTGTACCATGTGTAGCCAGTTTGGTTGGAAGTTCATCATAGAAAGCATATGAGTTGAGATCGTCGAATACTCGTAAGGGAAGCAACCTCACTATGAGCAATGGGCAGAGACGATTAAAAAGATCGAGCTGCCGTTCTGCAGCATCATAGTTTGGATGTGCACCCTCATCAAGACTGCTAGAAATAGAGTCAATATGATCAACTGTACAACCAAATGTCTAGGAAATAAAAATTCCAAATAATATAGACTTGTTCATTTATTGTTTTTGAGAAGGATAGACTTGTTCATTTATGCAGTGAGAATTCTCGTCCTATTCCAAATAAATAACTTGCATGCTCGCTGCACAATCTATAAACTTGGTAAACAAATAAAATAAAACTGTAAGAAACAGGTAGGTAATCATAGGTGTTAGTTTACAGATATGTATAGTGTAGTCTTGTCCCACATTGGAAGAGGAGTAATATCTCCTTGTAGTGTATAGCTATAAATAGGGATCCCTTATATTGTATTTATCATCCAATATCAATAACATATTTTCTCCTGTACCTTCTCACATGGTATCAGAGCATTAGTGAGAAAAGATCGATGTGCGTCATTCCAGCATTAACCGGGAAGAAAGAACTTAGTCATCGTGCAATTTTTCCGGTGACCTAAGGCTTGTCTAAGTGAAAGTCACTTTCTGTCGGTGTTGTGCTAAAACCAACACCACCACGAGGTAGATCACCCTCCGACGACCAACCCCTAAAATTTTATCTGGCAAAAAAGTCGCCACGCTCCTCCACGCGCCGGTAACAACAACTTTTCCGGCGAGGGTTCCGGCCATTTTTTCGCGAAACTTCTTCAGGACAGTGTGCTCTCCTCAAAATTCTGAGCTTACCCGTCTAATTCAAATCAAATTCCGACCATTTTTATATTTTTCCTTTTCCGGTGTGAACAGTGACCTTTCCCCGACCATTTTTTGAAAACATTTCTTCAGGACAGCTTGCTCGCAAAGGAATTCCGAGTCTATCCATCCTGGTTTCGACAAATTCCGACAACTTTGGAATTTTCCGTCGAGCTACAGTGTTTCCGGCACAGAACAGTGTTCTGTTTTCCTGTTGTAAACAGTGTTTTTCAAGCTATTTCTTCAATATTCTCACCGGAGTTACTTATTTCCACTATTTCAAGTTAACCCTACTACTACAAATTGTAGCGACATGGGAACCGATGCTTTGAATAGTCAGATGGTTTCTTTAGCAGAGTATATTGAGTTCCTTCAGTATAAAGCATGTAAGCAGACATCTTCTGAGATAGCTTCTGTTGTTCAAACAGGTAATAGCGTGACTTGTTTCTCCCAATCTTCATCCTCTGAGTCTTGGGTCATTGATTCAGGTACATCAGATCATATTTCTGGTAACAAATCTCTTTTCACTACTATTTCGTATTCTCAATCTCTTCCAAAAATCACAATGGTCAATGTGTCTCAAACCATGGCAACTGCAATAGGTCAAGCACGCCCACTTCCTTCCTTATCTTTAGATTCAGTCATTTATGTTCCCAATAGTCCTTTTAATCGCATAGTTGTTAGTCGCTTAGCCAGATCACTTAAATGCGTTGTTTTATTTCTTGATGACCTATGTTTTTATACAGGAACGCAGTTCGGGGCGGATCATTGGTACCGGGCGTGAATCAAACGGACTTTATTACCTTATCCTTGCTAAATCACATGGACTCACATCTTGTCTTCCTTCTACAACTTGTTCTGTTACTGATTCACCAGATTTATTACATAAACGGTTGGGACATCCCAGTTTATCAAAACTTCAGAAAATGGTATCTGGTTTATCTCACTTGTCAGCTCTAGAGTGTGAGTCATGTCAGCTCGGTAAGCATACCCGCTCCCATTTCCCTCGGCGTCTTGATAATCAAGCAGAGTCACCTTTACTTTAGTCCATTCAGATGTTTGGGGTCCTGGTCGGGTCAGTACCACCTTGGGATTACGCTACTTTGTCAGTTTCATTGATGATTATTCCAGATGCACTTGGATATTTTTGATAAAAAATCGATCTGAGCTGTTTTCTATTTTCCAGACCTTCCATGCTGAAATTCAAAATCAATTTGGGGTTTCTATTCGCACATTTCGTAGTGATTATGCCCGAGAGTATTTTGTCTTCCCCATTTCAGCAGTTTATGAAATCTCACGGGATTATTCATCAAACATCTTGTCCGTACACATCTCAACAAAATGGGATAGCAAAAGAAAGAATAGACATCTTATTGAAACTGCTCGTACCCTACTCATACAATCTCATGCTCCGTTGCGTTTTTGCGGGGGTGCAGTTCTTACATCTTGCTATCTTATTAATCGTATGTCATCTTCAGCTATCCAGAACCAAGT